TGGATACGATCAACAAAGTGCTTCAGGACTCGACCAACTGGTTTATGGCACAAGATATTGAGAGGAACATTGTGGCTTCCCAACCAGCTACACGAAATCACCTTGTACAAAATTGGCAACGCCTTCTTCAACATGGGTGAAGTGTAACATTGCTTTTTGTTGGAACAAGGCCTCTCGTGATAGTGGGGCATCCTGGGTGGTCCGTAACTCATCTGGAAACGTCTTACTACATGCGAGGAGATCATTTGCTTTAGTCCCTTCTAAGCTTGAGGCTTCTTCGTTAAGTATCCGATGGGCAATCGACAGCCTCTCCACTCTTGGTTATCATAGAGTCGTTTTTGCTACGGTCGACAAGTCTTTGGTTAATGCTGTTTCAAGACCGTCTGCTTGGCCTTCGTATTTGTTTCATGCCAATTCGTTCCTTACTCTGTTTCAGAGATTTCAAGCTTGGCAATTTATCTGCGAATCGAAGCAAGCAAATCGGCCCTCTTACATGATTGCCCTAAGTGTACTAAGTGGGAATCGCTTTCAATCATATATCGCTTCTGGTCCTCCTAGATGGCTTCATGATCTCTTCGAGTCGGAACGCAGGGGCCAACACAGTTCATGACTCTGCATTTCTTTTATTCTCAGGTTGTGATTGAATTAGATTCTCCTCTTTTTGGGCTTATCTGGACCATCCCAAAACTCTCTTCCACATATTAATATATATATATTTCAAGGGAAAAAAAAAAAAGATTGATAACAATTAACTCGTGCCCATCTCCGTTTTGTATGATCGTAACAAAAAAATGTACATAAACATTGTTACATTAGCAAGAGGTTAAATAAAACAAGAAGCAAAAAAAGAGCTTTTTTCATATAATTCATCAAATTTCCAGATGAAGTGAAAAAAAAAACCCCTAACCCCTAAATCGAAGAATCATCAAAATTTTTTCTAATAAGAATAAAATAACCCAAAACAGCACAAATCGCAGCAACAGCATTGCCTTCTTTCAAAAGAACCTTAAACACAAATCCAAACACTTCTCTAGTAATCTTACGAGCTTCAACAATCAAATCTCTTCTCGATTTACCAAAAAACGCAAGCAACACAA